TTAGAAATTTTTGATGTCCAAGATAAACGGTCTTTTTTCCAAACTCAAGTTGGTGATAACAAGTATCACCTTCACATATAGGACACACTTTATGTCCTTTGACACTATACCTAGCCAAGTTACGGTAAGCAGGAAAGTCGTTGACTGTGCAAAATAACATTGCACGCACCTTAAACTTTTCCTCGGAATATGCATCCCCAACTTCAACGCCTTCATCCCACAAGAGTCGTAAATCTTCAATTAATAGACTTAGATAAACATCTATGTTGTCACCGGGTTGTCGTGGTCCATAAATCATCATACTTAACAATATATACTTGCGCTTCATGCACAACCAAGGAGATGGGTTTTAAATAGTAAGAAGAACAAGCCATGGAGAATGGTTAGTGCTCATATTACCAAAGGGGTTCATTTCATCGGTGGCAAGCCTAAGCCTAATTTTTCTCGGCTTAACTCCAAAATCCAGAAACAACGAATCAATTTTCTTCCATTGCAATGAATCAGCTACATGGCGAATATTTCCATCATATTTCCTTTCATCTACATGCCATCTAAGATTCTTTGTGTTATTCGAATTAGCAAAATGTCTCTTAAATCCTGAAATTATTGGCAAGTACCATAACACTTTAGCAGGAGCATGCTTCCTACTAACATTGTCATAATCATTGTCATCACCATTGTTGGCCTTCAGCTTGTAACGCGACACACCATATTCCATACATTGATACAAGTTTGCATACTCTTTTATGTATAATATGTAATCATTAGGGAAAGAATGTATTTTGATATACTCCAAACCCATTGGACACAATATCTTTTTTGCATCATAGAAACGATCCGGCAATTTGTTATCTTCGGGTAACATTTGCTTTAGCAAATCAAGTAATTCCGTGAAACTTTTATCCGACCATCCATTTTCGCCTTCAGATTAAACAACTTTGACACCACCTACAATCGTGTAAAACTTGTGTAACCCTTATATAAAGGGGTATTTTATCACTATATAAAGTATCATAATATGAGCGTTCTTAAAAGAAGATTCTCCAATATCACGAAACATATCCTTTAGTCGATCATCCATATATTCATCATTCCACTCTTTGGCTTTGTGACTCCTGACTTCCCTCTTTATCCACCTCACCATGCCACGTCTATAGTATGTAATTTTGACATATACCATCACAACGAAGGTGATGGAATATTTCTTCCTTTGCACCTTTGTTGATATTCGCACAAACAACACAAGGACAATAAAAGATACCCTTATTTCCAGGAAGATTTTTATTAGTGTATTCAAGGAATTCACGAACTCCTTTCTCAAAAATCAGACCTAATCTATCAGATTTCATTTAACTACGATCTGTAACAACTTCTGAAATTTATACATGAATAATACATTGTGAATGACACACTAAAGCATATGAAAAAACAAAACTTCTGAAATCTAATCCAAAAACTAAAGCATATGCATATGCATATCTAAACCTAAAGCATATGCATATGCAAATATAAACCTAAAGCATATTAAACATATACTGACTTGAGCATATACAACATGAACGAAATATGAAGAAAGTAACATAAACAAAGAAAAAAGTAATGAATATGTTGAAGAGTATCGTACTTCAAAGCTAAAGAAACACGTAAGTAATGAAGATGCACGTAAGGAATGAAGAAGGTGAAAATTTGAGCTCCAAATGAATGGATACGAAGAGGGTAGAGATTATGCCACCGTTGTAATCTCTGGTTCTCTTGTTCGCCTAGGTTGTCTAATGAAAGAAATGCAGAACAAGTTTTGTTTTAATTTATTAATAAACCCTTTAATTGTGACTGCACAACGTAACTGTGGTGGAAGTTTAAGTCCTCTAATAACGGTTGGTTAAGTCAATCATTGTTAAATCATTTTTAATATATGTTTTAAATAATGGACTTAAGTGACACACACTTAATGTACTCTAAAAAATGGAAAAATGTAGTTGTTGGAAATCGAAGTTTGCTACACATATTTTATTACCACAATTATAGTGGCCAATCTTCAATAAATTATGGTTTATTAATCCTGAAATTCACCGAGCGCGAAAATTATAACCTATTACAATGGTGTATATGAATCTGTTGTAACCTTGGCGTTATTGTTTGGGCATTTTGTAGTAGTGATTATTTTCAAGTAAGTCAATTATCAAATTGGACTAACAACTATGACTTGACACTAAGGACTCAATAAAGCACCTTTTTCAGAGTGTTAATGTATTAGTTATTTTGTTGGTATTATTGGAAACAAAATTTAATCTGATCCATTTTTTGATCTTTACATTGATATATCTATACAACTACAAAAAAAACCTTTTATCTCGGTTGAAAAAGGGATCTTACCTGTGTTTCATAGACGAGTTAATGAAAACTCTCCACTTTTTCCATCGGGTAAAGTTCCATCAAGGGAAAATTTCTACTAGCCATGAGTTCGATCCCCAACAACAACATTTTTTAAATTTTCAAAATTGTGTTACTTTTTACCTCAATTGAAAATAGGCAGGGTACTATAGTATCATTCACCATACTCGCATTTTTTAGAAAAAATCCCGTACCAGAGTCCATACTCGCGTGGGCTGCAAATTTTGTACTTATACCCTATGGGTACCTAACACATACCCGTTTATCCGTATTTCTAATAAAAATAATATATAAATTATTATTTATCATGTCATTTTAAGTTTTTATCAACATTAAAAAAATTCAAAAATGATATTATTGAGTTAAGAAATAAAGAAACATTTATATAAAATGCGTACAAAATGATAATAGTGATGTATTTAATAAAGTTGATAAATTAACATGTATACATAATGATAAAAATAATATATATATATATATATATATATATATATATATATATATATATATATATATATATATATATATATATATATATATATATATATATATATATATATATATATATATATATATATATATATATATATATATATATATATATATATATATATATATATATATTATGCGTGTATGAGACGGGTTGGATACTAAGGTAATCGTACCCGCATCCATACCCACTCATTTTCGTGGGTAATTCCCCATGCCCATACCCGTACCTATTTTTCAGGTTTTTATCTTATCCATTGCGGATAATTTTTGTGGGTGTTCATTAGGGATGAGTCTAATTGCCATCCTCAGATGAAAATAATACCATATGTAAAATAGCTTATTTACATAATTTTTGTTTTAACCTGTTTTTTCGTTTCAATCTGCAAAATATCAAATTTATTGACAAATTTTGAATCTTCCTCATCATCACCATCATCATCAATAACAAAAAAAAAATTGAATCGTTGAACATTAAATCTCAACAACAACTACTACAACAACAACAAGATTCATAAAATCTTTAAACATTAAATTTCAAAAACAACAACAACAACTATAACAACAACAAAAAAATAAAATCAATAGAAATGTTGAATATTTATTCTCAATAACCGTAACATTAAACAATTTATTTGACACAACAACAACTCACATTGCTAAGTTACATTCAGGCTTTCATAATTAAAATTAAACATTTATAACAAATAATTATATGAGAATATATTACATTAATAACCAACCTTGAAATTTTTTATTGCTCTTGCTATCAATTTTAGAGAATGGTGCTGTACTTTATTCTACTGCTTTCATTATCATTATTTTCATTACGTTAAGTTTGCATTTTAGCAATTTGCATCAAAGATGGATCGTTAAGGCATTCACGTTCTGATTGGTTGGTGAGAGTTTCACACAGATCACTGATGTTTCATGTAGATTGATGTGATGACAATATCTTGACAGTTGTTCTTATATAATTGGGTGGAAAAAATTCGCTACTTAATTTTTCTCGTCAAATTGGATAAAACTTTTTCCCTCGGTTACTAGCTCAGCTAAGGTAATATCTCATAAAAATAAAATAAATTAATTTTCTTCTCGGTTGTTAGCTCAACCGAGATAATAGATCATAAACAAAAATAAAAATAAAAATAATAGATACTAAAATGCAATTGCGAATATTCAAAGACATGTTTCGTGAATCTTAATTGTCCGCTCAACCAAAGAAATAAATAATATCTTTTTAAAAAAATAAAATGTGGCGCACCTTTAATTTACATGTGGAATGTTCTTTGACTGAGATAGAAGATTTGTCATACAGTATTTGTAGTAGTGCCAATACTAATTATTAATATCACACGTTATTATTTTAGATATAAGACTTTGGTATTACATGGAACTTGTAAGTTTCCTCTCAACCAATTTACCACAAACTTAAATTAATGTACCGACTTTGTATACCCGAGCATATCTAATTCTTTGAGAATTACAATCCGAATTCTTACCACATATTGAAGGGAATCTATTTAGTACAAAGTATTATCAAATAGTGGGTATAGAGCATGATAGCATTGTAGCACATCAAAGTTTGAACAAACTGTTTGTTTTTGCAATCGATAAGACTAAAGCACAAATATATGTATTTGAACAAGTACGTGTAAAACAGTTAAATTTTATATATCTGGTTTTATCTTTTGAAATGCACGGTAAACTTGATTGTAGTAAAATACATGCACCCGTTCATATGATACATACTCTGATCCAAAGGTAGATAAAAAAGCCTTGATCATTGAACATCTTGTTAGCCTAGAATAACTAGGAATAAAACAGTTAAAATTTATAACAAGAAAGAATTATGTCAAATGATTTTTTATAATAAAACACAATATCAGATATTGAAATACATTAAAAAAAACCGGTATTTATCATTTATTATCTTCTTCTCCCTAGTGCTATGGTGCACAAATAAGAAAATTGTTGTATGAATTATAAGTTTGTTTACACAGCTAAATCAATAAATTTCACCATTAAATATGATGAAACTTATTAGCCTAACAATTTAAAATCCAGAGTAGAATAGTATCTTGTCAATGCACCCTTAACTTAATCATTCTTCTACACCACTATATTCCTTTGCATGACACCTGCTTCCATAGGTGGTTCATTTTCCCCTGCAAATCAATCAAAACCAATATATAGAACAAATAATTCAAATCATGATCAAAAATCTAAATAGTGTTACCAAAATCAGGGGAGAATATTTTTCATTGAACTTTTTCTTCTCAGATTGTCTGTCTTCTTTTTTCTCCTTGAGTTCATTTCTGCTCCGGATAGTTAAGCTCGGAACAGTCTCCATTGACGCGGAGCAAGAGCAGATTCGAACCGGTTGATAAGATATAAACTGAAAATTAGGTTAAACTGTTAGAGTCAAATGTCTAGATTTAAATCAGTTTTGGACAAGAAAATACAGAAAATAGTTTACCTTGCTTTTAGGTTGAATAACCGGCAATGAAACTGTTTCCGACGCTGGTTTTCTAAGATATCGAGAATGAGCAAGAAGCTGAGCACGACGATCATATTCATTTCTAACATATTCCTTCGTCTTTGTTTGCTTCTTCGAACGATTATTCACTAATTCCACGTAATATCTGATAATTACACCATTCTCCTTGCTGTTTTTCTTCTCTTTTGATGATAACATGGCCATGCGATGGATTGGTTCTCACACATGGATCGTGAATCTCTCTCAGCTTGTATTCATGGGTTTTGGTATTGGATGTGTTAATATATTTATACTCACAAATATTACGATCATTATTTTATTTACTATTAAAATAGAATAAATCAATTGTTCATTTTTTTTATAGAAATTATAAATATTATTTTGGTCCAATTTATTTGACTCATATTGGTTTTGTAAATGGAATGCTGATTTTTTTTCCCAAAAAAAAAGGGAATATTGATATCTAAATAATCAATTTAACTCTATATATAAAAAAGTGTTCGAAGAATTGTGTTATTTTGATAAGGGAGTTTGAATAATGGTTGACTCTTAATTAATTTTTTTTTAAATGATTTTTTAAGTAATAATTTTAATTTTGTATTGAAATATTGCAGGTTCAAATTTCTATGTTTATAATAGGATGTTCTAGACTATTAATTAAATAGGTAGAATCTTGAATTTTTTAAGGTTAGTCTCAAAAAAGTCTTATTCTAATATGAATTTGAGAATTACTATTTGAGATTAGTTCTAGATGAACTTTGAACGAGTTTTTTTTATTTAAAAAAATTAAAATAAAATCTTTATAATAATTATTATAAATAAAATTAAAATTATATTATTTTAAACATAATATATTTTTAAGTATTATATTATTTTTTATAAATATTTTAATGTATTTTTAAATATAATATATGTTTTAAATTGAATAAAATGATACTCAAATATTTAACATAAGAGAAAAACTAATCGAATACGGTAAAAAATATTGATTATATTAATGTATAATATTTAAAAAATAAAAATTAAATAGAATAGAAATAAAATTTAATGAAGTGAGAAGAATTAATAAATTATTTTTGTATAAGACAATACAATTATTTTTTATTTTTTTTAAATTTATAGTTATGTGGAGTTAATAGATATCTACTGTCTATATGGACTAACCCTAATGGATAACCGACTTTTCAAGACTAGATTAAAAAAACTCTAAAAAATATAAACTCTAATTTTAAAGTTAAAATTTTATTATTTTTTGGGATTTCTTATTCCACTATATATTTTTTTTAATGTACCATATAAAATTTCAAAAATATTCCTAAAAACCAAAAATATATTTTTGATACGTACCTGCAAATATATAATTCATTTATTTTTTAAATTTGTCTCATTTTATAATAAATTTTATTTCAAAAATATATTTCCAGTATAAATAAAAAATATACTTCTAATTTCAATAAGAAGCGCTATTGTTTTTGGCATGTATATTACCTTAAGAGACAAGTATACATTTTTAGTAGTCAGAGAATAATTTGTGAAATCAAGACACTCAAGAAATCAAAACTAGTTAAAACATTGAATATCACTCAAATTTTAAACCTTAAGCTATACAAAATTGTGAAATCAAGCACCTTCCATGATGTTTTTACATTAACTGTTTCATGAGAGTGTTTTGCAGAATTAGAAGTGTTTTTTCGATTTATTCTAAAAATGTATTTTCAGAATTAGAAGATATTTCTTTGGCAAAATACCCTTTTTAGTCTCTTAACTTTACCTTTGGGTTCATTCTGATCTCTTATCTTTAAAAAGTTTTAAAGTGGTCCTTTAATTGTTCAAAAAGGACCACAGTAGTCCTTTCCGTCCAAAAAACACAAATGGACGTTTGTTTTGTATGCGTGGTAGCTGATGTGGAATGCTATGTCATCTTCTTCGTTCTCTTCAAGTCTGCATCGTCCATTTCTTTCTCTTCTACCCCAAACTCCCCCAAATTCTAGGGTTCAACAATTTTCTTCCCCTTATGATTTTGTAATTGCTTGAGGAAAATGAAGCAATCATCATTAGCGTACTCAGGTCAGTGTTCATACAATTCGAAGGTCAACAGCGGTGGATGTTTAGACGAAAATTTGCGATGGAAACCCATATATGACTGTGGAGACACGGCTGTTCTTCGAATGACTTAAACTCACACGAATTTTGGGAAGAAATTCTGGGGCTGTCGTCATTATAAGGTAAGAAAGAAATTAAATGGCTTATTCATATTATTTTTTCTGATCTATCCAAATTTGGAATGACACGGGGTTCATCTGAAACTGGATGTGGATACTTTCAATGGTTCTGATGATGTTGTGGATGAGAAATAGCAGTTTATAAAGAAGCAAAATAGTAGGTTGGAGAAGCTTAAAAATGACCTTGATGCAGCAAAAATGGAGATACTGTCTTTAAAGGAACAAAAGGATGGGCTGAAACAAAAGATAAGGGGTTACAAATTGAAATGAAGAAAATGATGAATTCCGGAAGAAAAAAAATGGAAAAGAATGTTTTGTATGTTTTTCATTTGGGTGATGTTGCAAATTCCAGTATCGCTTGTAATATCATTTGAAAAGAAGATGGTGTTGTTAATTGATGAATTTGTATGTTTTATTCGTAACATTTTGTAATGAATTTTGGAACTGGTGTAAATTCCAGTATGCAACTGTATGAATTTTGGAACTGTATGAAACTGGTGTAATTTTGAAACTGTATTTTTGATGAATTTTGTAAATTCCACTAACTGGTGTAACATTTTGAATGAAATCATAGCATAACATATAAAATCAATTGAATAAAGTCAACAAGAATACATAAGGTGGTGGATACCACAAATATTCATAAATTTGATGTTCAAAAAACCTGATATTACAGGTCCAAAAACACTACTATTACAGATCTAAAAACCATACTTTACATGTCCAAGAAACCTGATATGACGGGTCCAAAACAACACTAGACAGTACATATTCAAGACACTTTAAAATAGCTTAACTATAGTTAACATAACCTAACAGAACTATTATATTAAAGAAATTAATCTAAGCTTTCCATTTTGTTGCGGCTCTCTTAACAAGTGTCGTCCTTCTTGTTGTTGGATCTACAAAAGTTTTAGATGCATTCAACCTAGTTGTTGGACTAGGTGGGACAAAAGGTGCATTTGGCCTTCTAACTTGTAACTTTTTGGATTTGGGATTCACTTTCTTGGATGATTGAGAAGCAGTTGGCTGAGATGCCTAAGCTGACTGGGATACTTGAGCTTGTTGAGATGCTTGAGCTGGCTGGGATGCTTGAGCTGGCTGAGATGTCTGAGCTGACTGAGATGCTTGAGCTGGCTGAGATGCTTGAGCTGGCTGAGATGCTTGAGCTGGCTGGGATGATTGACTAGTAGATGGTACCTTGCAAGTAAGCTTGTTGTGTCCTGCTTTCTTACACCTGCTACACTTTATAATGAATCTTGTCCTTCTCATCTTTTTATCAGAACCATCTATCTCACCTTGCTCTAAATTCCTCCTTTTTTTGGCCTTTCAGACATTTTCTTAAATTGGGGGGGGGGGGGGGGGCAGAATATCAGGATACGCTGTTCTCATCCACAAGTTTGAGCCATTAACAGGATATATTACATGTTTGTACACTTGCATATATCTTGATTTCCTGTAGTAATCAGGAATGTAGTCATCAATCTTGTGGTTCCTACTTTTGATTGCTGCAAGTGAATAAACACAAGGCAGGCCTGTTAGCTCCCATCTTCTGCATGAACAGTACTTTTCCTTCAGGTTGACTGTGAATTTTTCAGCTGAGTTTTCCAGATGCCTCACTTTAAATATATGCTCATCATACATCCTAACATATAAATATATATTCCAAATATAAATACACTTCAAAAATATACACTTTAAAGAAATTTATTTAAAGCAATTTACCTGATAAGCCACATGTTTGTGTATGAACTTGTTTTTTCAACCTTCTTCATAATGTTAGGCAACACTTCAACATCTGCCAATTTCTCAAACCTCATCCTGTTTGTAGCACATCTTTCCATCATGTATACCCTGATTTCTTCCACCATTGTTATCAAAGGCTTGGCCCTAGACTCCAGGATGACACTGTTAAATGTTTATGACATATTATTGAGAACAACATCACACTTTTTATCAGTCTTGAAGTATAATATGCTCCAAAACCTTGGAGGGGTGCTAATCATGTGTTTGTATGCTTCTCCATTGAGCTCTTACATTACTTTTATCTCTTTCCCCTAAGCTTGGTAGTAAGTTGACTTGGCAGCTTTCCATATTATTTCCTTTAGTTTTTTTCCTGGATACCTCTTCCTGAAGTTATTGTAGAGAAGCTTAACAAAGAACGGTTGTTCAACTATAGGCATCAGTTCTTCCATTGTAGGAAATAATCCCTAACTCATCAAAAATGTAACATGAGAATTTGTAACATGAAATACCTATCAATACAAAATTAAAAACAGAGCCATACCTTTTGTTGATCAGAGATGAAAGTGTATGTGAGGCACTCTTCTCTTCCACCAAGATCATCAATAAGCTGCTCTAAGAACCATGTCGAGCTATCCTTGTTCTCACTCTCCACCACTGCATATGCTATTGGTAGCATTTGTTCATTGGGATCTCTACCTATGGCTGCAAGTATTTGACCCCCACAAAGGCCTTTCAAAAAACATCCATCAAGTCCAATGAAATATCTGCTTAACTTAAAGTTTTCCTTACAAGCTACCAAGCATATGTATATCCTTTTGAAATGTAATTTCTGAACACCACCTTCATGTGCAGGTTCGACATTCACTTTTACAGTTGATCCTGGGTTTGCTCTTAATAACTCGTGTGCATAGTCATATATCCTTGCATAATCCCCTAGGAACGACCCATCGATCATGTCTCTGGCTGCAAACCTAGCCCTTATGGCCTTGGTTTTGTTGACCCCCACATTCCACTTCTTCTGTACCTTCTCCTAATGTCCTTAATTTTCATTCTAGAGTTGGTTTTAAGTGAATTCTGCAACCTCTTCCTCAACTATTTAGTCTTCATTAACTTCATATTATATTCTCTACTGCAACTATGAGTGTCTTCTACCTTTCTTTAGTTGCCAAGAATCCTCAGTAGACAATTTAGCACAATAGGATTCCCATTCACATCCTTCCTTACACCTAACCCTAATCTCGGTGTTGTCATTTTTAATGAACTTTAAATTTCTGCCAGATTGGACTGCATAAGAGGTAATGGCTTCCTTGAAAGTTTCTGTTGTACTAAAGTAGGTTCCCACTTCCCATTTGTAATTGGCCATATCTTTTTGAAGCTTGAAAACTGGATACTTCTTTCTCCTAACTCTACTGCTATCATCACTATCACAATCACTTCCTAGATCATCACTTTCATTATCACTTCCTTTGCTATCTTCTTTGTTTCTTCACACTTTTCTTTACCTTTTTTGCTTTCCATGTGTTCATAGTTACTTAGGTTACCCTCTTCCTCTTCCAAATCAGTGTCATACTCATCAGAGTCATCATCAAATACTACCTTTGTTGCACTATCGTAGTTGAAGGTGATATCATCAAAACTATCATCATCATCAGTTAGTCTAACATCATCATCAACCTCACCAGCCCTATGTCCAATATCATCACTTTCAACCTCATCAACCATTGGCACACTATCATCAGTTCCTACTGCATGGACACCATATTCCCTAATATCATCTTCCCCAACGCCATCCATGCTAACATCATCTTCTCTAACATCATCTTTCCTAACATCATCTTCCCTAACACCATCTTTCCTTCCATCAGTTTCATTCAACATCTCTCCAAGCACAACTTCTGCCTCATGAACTATCACATTAAGGGGACCTCATCTAACACAACTTCAATCTCATCAGCATAATTAGGCTTTGACAACGTGTGTTGAATAAAGACTTCAATACTAAGATGAACCCTATATAGATAAAAATATCTAATGCCCCCTTGCCATCAACCAACATACTCATCCCAGCAGTAGGATCCCTATAACATATATTCTCTACATTTGCGTAACCTAGCTCTTTAATAGCACCTATCAATTCAAAATAGCTCCACTTATCAATGTCTACTCTCAAATCAGCAATCTCACCTCCTTCGTAAACACTCGTGTCCTCAGTAACAAATTCGCCACTATGGTGTATTGTAATGTTCAGATATTCATCTATTTTAGACTATGTCCTAAATGGGCACGAAGATATTAGATTTCAGAAAGATTGATTTCAAAAAACCCTAACTACGAAAATCATAGTTTTGCAGAAACTTACCTACGATGAGCAATGTTGTGGTCGATTTCACCTTCAAGAATGGAATGTGCCTTCGCTTTGCTCGCAGCTTCTTCGCAGAATAGAGCTACCAACAATGGTTGTCCTAGGATTTCCTTCAAAGTGTTGGAGATGTAATATGATCCTTTAACCCATGTAATGCTTTAACCCTTTTTTAAGATACTTTAATCCACCTGGACGAAAATGTAAACATGTGTAATGCCACATATATGTCACATAAGCTCTACCATTGACTTTGACTAACGGTCCAGACGGAAAGGATAAACCTGGTCCTTTTTGAACAATTAAAGGACCACTTTAAAACTTTTTAAAGATAAGAGACCAGAATAGATCCAGAGGTAAAGTTAAGGGACTAAAATAGATATTTTGCCTATTTCTTTTCATCATAAAGTAGAATAAGAAGTACATTAATTTCATCATAAAGTAGAATAAGAAGTACATTAATTTTTGGACCTAATGAATAGATTCATATGAACTATTTGACAGCTCTAATAATTATATGTTATTTTAATACATATCTATAGACATTTAAAGGACACCATATAATATAAGTATTAAAATATAATGTGAGTTTGTAAATCTAGAAAAGAATTAATAAAAAATAAAAAATGTTTTAGAATCATATAATATAAAAGAATCATTTAAAGGACACCATATAATATAAGTATTCATGATGGATTTTATCCGTAGATATCTAGGAGTACATGTTTTTTTGTCATTTCTATATTTAACTCATATTACTTTTGTAAATAGAATGCTCGTCTTTTTTTCGAAAAAAAGAGGGAATATTGATATCTAAATAATCAATTTAACTCCATATATAAAAGTGTTCAAAGAATTGTGTTTTTTCATTAAGGGAATTTGAATAATGGTTGATTCTTAATTATTATTAAAAAAAAAAATTTAGGTAATAATTAAAATTTTATAATTGAAATATCACAGATTTAAATTTGAGGATGTTCTAGAAATATTAACTAAGTCGGGTTAATGAAAAAAATTGTAAGTATTTTAAGGTAAAATTTATTGAATAAAATGCTTAATATCTAATTTAAATCTTACTTTGTTTAAAGAAAAAATGATTTTAATATTAAGTTATAAATATTTTATAGAATCACTTAATTAAAAAATAAATAAAAAATACATAATTAAAATTGGTGGTTTGCATTTAAGAAATGAAATTCGAAGTGCTTGACACTTTTGTGTGTAGGTACATGTGGAGGTTCTATGAGGTGAGCTATTTTTATCGGCCCTCTGTAGGGGCTTCTGGGCCTCTGGAGGTTTATTGTCGTTATAGGATACTAATGAGGTGTAGGTAAAAATTTCAATGAGTTTCGAGAATTTTTTTATCATTAAAGGGTGGTTTTATAAAGACATGGCATGAGTTTGTTATTGCCAATGCATATGCTCTATGTGATAGCGACACTCAATTATCTTTATGGGATTATTTGGGTGTTCTGATACTTAACTAGATAAACATTTTATTCTAAATTACTAAAATATAGATGTGTGCATATAGATTCAACAATAATTTTATTAGGACATTAGCGTAGAATACCAGACAAAAAACCTAATACTCTAAAAAATTTCAATGGAAATGCTTCAATATATTAGGTTTCAATGTAGATTGTGTGCTCTTTATATAAAAATTCTTATAGAATTTTCTTCATGACTGATTGATTTGATTTCATTCAGAAATAATGCAAATTCAGTTGGATATTTTATTTGTTCCTTGAATATCTCCAACAAAAAGATATAATTTGGTTTGTTACAAATTCAAATTTAAATCTCTTTAAATCTCGTTTGATCTTCACAACTGTCCAACAAATTATATAATCATATTGTTAACTAAATAGCAATAAAATATTTCACAAGTCTTCTGCATATCTTCTTCCAAAATGCAACAATCTGTCGCCTGTTGAGAAAGGCCCAAATGTCGTACCATATGCCGAGACAATGTATCTTGCATGTGTCCCTTTTACAGTTCCATACAACTTAAGTAAACTAGATCATCTTGAACACTTTGAATACTTATCCATGTTGTTGTTTTACAAAAATGTAGCCAATTTA